GGGTCGGCCCCGGCTCGGTGACTCCAGCGGCCCGCCAGGCCGTCCCACACCTGCTAGGGTCCTCTGCCGCTGTGCCCCACGATGTCGCTGCTGCTGCTGCTGCTGCTGGTACTGGGACGCATACCTTACCTCAGCCAGGGTGAGTGAGGCTCCGGGAGTTCACGGGACTCCTCCAGCCCTCCCTAGGAACCCAGGAGCCCTGCCTCCCCACCCCTCTGTGAGGACTCCAGCTCAGCAGCCCTCCCCAGGGCCCAGGAGCCCTGCAGCCCCAGCCCTCTTTTCCATTGCTGGCTGACAGATTCCTTCCCACCGTCCCAGGAGCCCTGTCCCCCAGTCCTCCCCAAGGGCCCCCACTGATTCCACCCTCCCAGGGACCCAGAACTAGCCTAGCCCTACCCCAGGGCCTCAGGGTCCTCCCCAGACACCCCCTCCACTCACTGTAACCCTCTCCAGTTACCAGTCCCTCCCCACCCACCTGGCCTGGGGTCCTGTGAACTGAGCCTTCACTCCACCCATCCCTGGGGTCTGAGGTAGGACCACCAGGGGAACACCAGAGGCTGGGAGAAGGAGGGGAAGAAGGGGCCCAGCCCTACCTGGAACCAGGGAAGAGTTCCTCTTTCTCACCATGTTGCTTTCTCACCTACCCCTGGGACCTCTCTTGGAGGGGTCCCTCTGGCAACTACCCATTTCTGGGGTGCACAGACACACACACTCACAGGGAAGTATATAGACACCACAAGCATGGAGACACACAGGCACAGAACAGCCCCAGCCTCGCCTGGGCACTCAGGTGTAGGGCTCGTGGACAGCCTCACACACAGACACGGGCAGAGATACCCTGAGAGGAGCGCACGCACACACACACACACACACACACACAATGCAGGGATACTGAGAGTCCCACATGGACACACACACAGAAGCACCCACACACATACCCCTCCACACACCCAGGAAGCCTGGACAGCCTTGGCACTTCCAGCAGAGGCTGCCATGGGCAGACAGAGCAAACAGACCCCAGAATGACCTGCCCCACCTAAGTTGGCACGGAGGGAGTGTTTTTCTTGATTCCAAACCCATTGCTGGGTGTCCGCCCCATGCCTAGGTTCTCCATAGGGCTGTGCCCGGGACCCTGAGATGCCAGAGCGTGGTCAGGTCAGGGTGGGGGGACCTCCGGGGGCAACTTTGGGGTATGGGGTTAAGACTGGGGCCCTGTCAGATATGCTTAGACTGGGAGTGTTTCATGGGGTTTGGTGGATCCAGAGGTCAAGCGCCCTTATCTGGAAGCCCACTGCGTGCCAGGGGATCTGGAGCTGCCTACAGCAGAAATCTGCTCTTAAAGAGCTCCAGGGCCGAAGGGTCACTCCCATAAGCAGATAGCAGCACAGTGTGACAAGGGTCTTCTGGTCACATTCTAGAAGAAGGTGACAGGTGAGCTGGGTGAGGATGGGCTGAGGGCATTTGAGGGCACTGCACTGAGTGGGAAGTTTAGCTGGAGACACAGGAAATGATGAGCAGGGTCCATGGAGGGGGTGTTGAGAGAGGACCCTGAAGAGGTGGGATCTTTATCTAGAGGGCAGTGGGAGCCACGGGAGGTTTCAGGCAGAGGTATGGGCAGCTGGGAGCAGCACTCTGGCAAGTCCTGTGAGAGTAAGGACTGGTCATCCAGAGGAAGGCAAAGATTTTAACTCTAAACTTGTTTTTACATTTCGTTTCTATTTAAGTCATCTCTATTTCGTTTCATCACACAAATACGCTACTTTTTCCACTGAAAAAAAAACAGGGGCCAGCCAGGTGGCATAGTGGGTAAAGTTGGCGCGCTCCGCTTCGGCGGCCCAGGGTTTGCAGGTTCAGATCCCGGTCATGGACCTACATACCACTTATCGAGCCATGCTGTGGCGGCATCCCACATATAAAAGTAGAGGAAGTGCTCGCTTCGGCAGCACATATACTAAAATTGGAACGATACAGAGAAGATTAGCATGGCCCCTGCGCAAGGATGACACGCAAATTCGTGAAGCGTTCCATATTTTTGGGTTGTAATTAGTATTTTGGTGGTGAACATGATGTAGTCCACGCAGAAATAGAAGTACAATGATGTACACCTGAAATTTTTACAATGTTATAAACCAATGTTACTGCAATAAACAAAAAATTAAAAAAAAAAAAAAAACAAAAAAAAATAAATAAATAAAAGTAGAGGAAGATGGGCGCGGATGTTAGCCCAGGGCCAATCTTCCTCAGAAAAAGAGGAGAATTGGCAACGGATGTTAGCTCAGGGCTGGTCTTCATCACCAAAAAAAAAATTGGATTTAATTTTGGCCTAGACTCTTCAAAAAAGTCAGTGTGATAAAAAACTTGTTCAGATAAAAAGACACAAAACAGACATGATGACCGAATGTGATGCATCAGTCTCCTCTGTAGCCTCAGGCCCAGAGCAGTGGACAGCGGACTCCCGGGCATCAGGCAGGCCCTGTGACCTGGGCTGGGTCCTTTCACCTCTCTTAGCTTCAGTCTCCCCACCTGTCAATGGGACAATGGCTGTCCACAAGACAAGGAGGCTGTGCTGTTGACAACAGATGATACCTGTAAGTTGGGGAGCACAGTGCCTGGGGCAGGCTGAGGTTCAAGTGAGTGCCTCTCCTTACTGTCGCTCTGACAATTGTTTCTGACCCAACGCCAGGGAGTGGACCCATTGCCCTCCCCAGAAGGAGGAGTCGCTCTAGGATTCTCTGATGCCCAGGTCACAGTGGTTTGGAGGCCCCTCACTCCAAGCAGTGGCCCCCTTGCTGCCCCTCAGCTCTATCCCCCTGCCAGGCGTCCTTCCCCTGCTGTGTTTGGGTAAGGAGGAAGGAACACTGGATTGGGAGTCAGAAGCCTGGGTGGGAGTCCCCAGTCAGGTCAGGTTCTTGTTGGCTGTGTGACTGTGGGGGGCCTCCTCTTTCTCACCTGTGAAATGCAGGGGTTCCATTCGCACCCGCTGTGTACTGCTGTGTGTCAGAGCCACACGGAGATCCAGAGAAATGGCTGGCTTGGGCCGCAGGGCTCCCTGTGTGGGACGAAGCTGTGCCTGGCAGTGAAAATAGGAGGAGATGCGAGGGACCCTGAGCCATAGTCTAGAGGGGAGTGGTGGGGGGCAGGGGAGACCCAAGGTCTGGGAAGCCCTCACAGAGGAGCCCTCTTTGATGGCAGGGACCCTGTTTAGCTCATCTCTGATGTCCAGTGTCCACCACAGGCAACTGGACAGACATTTGATGCACGACTTGCAATCTGGAGTTGACAAGGGCAGGGGACTGGGAATCAGGGCATTCCGGGGAGAGGGACTAGCCTGTGCAAAGGCCCAGTGCTATGATCTTTCAGATGCTGTGGCTCTGTGACTTTTTCTCTTTCATGGCTGTCTTGAGAATATTGTTAATAATAGTTAGAGCTTGTTATGTGCCAGGTGCTTTACATGCATGATCTCATTTCATTCTATGAAGTGAGGTCCCCTTATCCCCCTGTTTTACAGAAGAGGAAGCCAAGGCACAGAGAGGTTGAGTAAGTTGTCCGAGGTCACACAGCTAGGAAGTAGGAGAAGTAGGATTCAAACCCAGTCATCCAGGCCCTTTCCCCAGGTCTAGGGCAGCCCTGACCTGCAGCCTCTAACCTTTTCTTCCCCCAGCCTCCCATGTACACCGGCGTGGGCTCCTAGAACTGGCAGGGACCGTGAGTTGTGTTGGCACCCGCACTCCCGTGGCCTACGTGAACTACGGTTGCTATTGTGGCCTGGGTGGCAATGGCCAGCCCCGGGACGCCATTGACTGGTGAGTGCATGCTTGGGCCCAGGCTAGAAGGTCCCCCACCCCTGGGATAGTTCAGGCCTTTGAGGAAATACCCAAAACCGAGGTTGAGGTTTGGACCAGGAAGATTCCAGCATGTGATACTACCTTGCAGGCAAGGGGCCTCCTGGGTAACGTGGCCAATAAGGCCAAACCTTGGTACCAGCTGCCCACCACCCTGGCTATGGGATGATTTCTTTGGCAGAAAAAGGTAACATAAAGTTGATCAGACTTATTATGCGCCAGGAACTGTTCTGAGTCCCTTGAGTCCTCACAACAACTCAATTGCAGAGACGAGGAAACTGAGGCACAGAAAGATTAAGTGACTTGTCTGGGGCCGCAGAGAGGGTAAAGGGTGGGGCTGGGATTCGAACCCAGGCAGTTGGGCTGGATTCATGCCCCTAATCACTGCATTCTGCTACCACGTGAGAGGTGCCTGTTCTGTCCAGGCTGTGGGCTTAGATCTTTCCATGACTTCCTTCATTTACCCTCAGGCCGTCCTTGGAGGCCGGCATGATGGCTATCCCTGTTTACAGAGGAGGGCCCTGAAGCTCAGAGAAGCGCAACCACCTACCCTTTTCCACACAGCTAGTAGGTGGCAGAGGCAGAATTGGATTCTCTCTTCCCTCGCTTAGAGGATGTCATTGTCACTGACAGGTCTTTATTCTGGCCACCGGCCATGTCCTCCTGCACTCTGGCTGTCTGGTTTCTGCACATCCTTCCAGGTGCTGCTCAGGCATCCCCCCCTCTAAGAAGTCTTCCTGAAGCCTGGCCAGGCCTGGTACCTCCTCCGTCTCCCAGAATCCCCTCTCCTTAGCCCACATTCCAGCACTTCTCACCATGCATGCAGTGTCTGGTGGTTTGTCAGCCTCCCCCGCCAGACTGGGGACTCATTGAGGGCAGGGCAGGGTCCGGCTGACCTCCCCTGCCAGACCCTGCTGAGGGCTTAACACAGAGTGGGGCTGATGGCTAGATGAAACAGTACCAGTGAGTGAATGAATGATAGGAGGATTTAGGGACATTTATGAGTTTTTCTCAGGGAATTTTTCAACGTAAATTATTATTATTATTATTGAGGTCCTATTACCTGGCAGGCCCTCGGCTGGACACTGGTGACACTGTGGGGAACAGGACAGAAATTGTCCCTCCCTCACAGAGCTCTGGTCAGTGAGAAGGACAGATGTTGATCCATCTTCTCCCAAATGAGGGTCTCATTATAAACCTGCCCTGAAGGGAAGGAACCTGGTTTTCTGAGAGGGTGTGACAGGGAGATCGTCATAGCCTGGGGAGGTAGGGGGCCTGGATGACATCCTGGGGATGAGGACTGTCGCTTGGGCTGAGACCTAAGGGAGGAAGAGTGGACATGTTGTCCCAGGCAGAGGGCAGGACACAGGCAAAGTCAGGGGGCGGGCAGGGGTTGGTTCACTCCAGGAACAGAGAGGAGACCAGTGTGCCTGGAGCTCAGAGACTCAGAGAGTGAAGCACACAGGGGCCAGGTTCGAGCATGGCCAGGGCATGGAGGCAGTGCAGGACACACTGGAGTCAGTGGAATTATTTCCCAGGATGAGGATTCTCAGGGACAAAGCTTTGACCAGAAGATGCTGTCCCCCTGTGGGTCCTCACTCGCCCGCCTGGCGTGGCAGGGTGGCCAGGAGAGCATCCCTGCCTTCTGCATCCCTGGTCTGCCTGTCTGCCATCCGCAGGTGCTGTTATCGCCACGACTGCTGCTACATCCGTGCTGAGAAGATGGGCTGCATGCCCAAGTTGGAGGGCTACTCCTGGCAGTGCGTCAACCAGAGCATCGTGTGTGGTGAGTCCCCAGCACCACCCACACCAACCTCCCCGAGTGTGCCTGGGCATCCGGGCTGTAATAACTTACCACTGCTTCCAACTCTCCATAGACTGCCGTTTGGATTTATCTAATATAAGTGATCTTTAGTACTAACCACTTAAAAAAAATAAAGAAACCTGTTTCTTTGCTTTCTGGACAAAAACCAAAAAAGAGAAATGATACTAGACATAAACAACCTGAATGTCCATCAGACAGGGCCTGGGTAAATAAACCTGTGATGTATCCTCACTGTGGGAGGCTCTGCAGCCTCGAGAAAGGATAAGGTAGAACAATATGCTGACGTGGAAAGACGTTGAGTGAAAAAGCAATCTACAGGATGATGTGTCCAGTAAAGCACAATTTGTATTAAAAGACAGAAAAAGAAATTTGCAAAATAGTACCAGACTACTTTTCATGGTTACATGTAGACCTATGCAAAGCTCAGAAAAAGGTATGTAAAGATATACTCTAGGGTTGGCCCTGTGGCTTGGTGGTTAAGTGCGCGCGCTGCGATGCTGGCGGCCCGGGTTCGGATCCCGGGTGCGCGAGGCCCCACTTCTCTGTCCAGCCTGAGGCCGAGTCCCACATACAGCAACTAGAAGGGTGTGCAGCTGTGACATACAACTATCTACTGGGGCTTTGGGGGCAAAAAATAAATAAAATCTTTAAAAAAAAAAAAAAAAAAAGATATACTCTAGGGGCTGGCCCGGTGGCACAGCGGTTAAGTGAGCACGCTCCGCTTTGGCGGCCCAGGGTTCGCAGATTCAGATCCCTGGCGCGCACGAATGCACCGCTTATCAGGCCATGCTGTGGTGGCATCCCATATAAAGTGGAGGAAGATGGGCACGGATGTTAGCCCAGGGCCAGTCTTCCTCAGCAAAAAAAGAGGAGGATTGGCAGATGTTAGCTCAGGGTTGATCTTCCTCACAAAAACAAAACGAAACAAAAGATATACTCCAGACTGAGGATGGCTGTGGTCATCTCTAGGGACAGGATCAGGCTGAGGGAAGTGGTGGTGGAAGGCGATTTCATGTTCTCTGTGATGCTTCCATTTTTTACGAAGAGAATGACTTTGTGAGTTACTTGTGGATTAAAAGTTAAAAAGAAAAGGAGTATACAGCCTGTGGTGTTTCAGGGTGAAGTGCACTGATCTCTGCAAGTTACTTTGACATGCATGAGAACAAAATAAAATAAAAAGGTAGATGGACGGATGGATGGATGGATGGACAGATAGAGGGGTAAGTGGCGAAGCAAAACGTTAATGGTGAAATCTGCGTGGTAGATCTACAGATGTTCTCTGAACAGTTCTTTCAGCTTTTCTGTATGTTTGAAATTTTCCACAATAAAACGTTAGCAACAGAGAAAATGGAAGAGGTTGGTGCGAGGGCTCCGTGCCTCCATTTCCTCACCTCCAGCCCCAGTGGGAGATGCTCTCAAGGTGGAGGCCAGCTGCACCCTGGCGTGGTTTGATGACCCTCCTCCACCATGGTTCTGAGGCTCCAGCTCTGGATGTCCTGCACTAGAGTGACCAGAAGCCGTAGGCTGGGTCCCATCCTAGGGGACGGAGGGATGTAGAACTTGGACCGAGCCTGTACCCTGAGTGTCCATTTCACTGGCTCTTCTTCCCTAAGGCTGAGCCAGGCAGAATGAACCGAGTTCTAGAGACGTCCTGCCACTTACCAGTTGGGGACTCCAGGGAAACCCCTTTCCCCCTCTGGAACACTGTGCCCTCATCTCTAAAAATACGGATAATAGTATTCCAGGTTGGTGACCTCTGGGCCATGTTTGTCCTGCAAATGTTTTGTTTCACCTGCATGGTGTTTAGAAAAGCAGTTTGAGCCAGTATTTGAAAAATCAAATTGTGTCATATAAAAAAATCTGAATTTCTGAATGTCTGGTTTCCCTTAAAAAATTGGAGGCTTTAACAGCATCAGACTCAGTAGCAACCATTGGCTGGAACTTAGAGGTCTGCCAGTTATAGGCAGGGCCTATGGCTCCTATCTGCCCCAGTCCCCACCATGCCCTGTTGTCTGTCTGACACTGAGGCCAAGTGTTGATGACCATATTTCATTTCCCTTGTGCTGTTGATTTTGTTCTAGAAAAGAAATATTTCTAACAAACCTAGGAAAACAGAAGGCAGACCAAAAAGTTGAATGCTTCAAGAAAAAATGGGAACGTGTGGCCTATTTATTTGTTGAAATGAAGAATGCTCCTGTGTTTGATAAGAACCCCCTTTGCTTTACTCATTAGCACCGCCTGCCCCAGTGGACATCTGAGTTTGCAACTCCTGGTCCAGTGGTCAACAGCTTAGTCAGTGACTCAGATTCTGGGCAAGCCCTGATCTCTCCAAGCCTCAGTTTCCTCATCCGTAAACTTGGGGCAGAAATCAAGCCTGCCTGTTGTGAGGATGAAATAGCGGTGACTGACACGGTACTGCATACACAGTAGATGTCATTAAATGTCTGCTGAAGAGGTGACACAACACTGTTCCTCCAAGCACAGGATTTGGGGGAGTGCATGAACACAGTTCTAACCCTGGACCCCAAAAGGCGAGAGCGATTTCTCTTTCAATTCTCTTTTAATCCTTCTAATTCTGTGGAGGAGACAGTCTCAGTTCAGTGCTCCTTTAGCTCTAACATCCCTGGGACATGGCTGATCCTTTTCAATGAGAGAGGAGGCTTCTGGCTTATAGCCTTACCAAGAGCAGCTCTATTCCTAAATTTAATTCTGGCTTTTGAAAAAATTATTTCTGTCTATCTACCTATCTATTTATTTATCTTTAACCACAAGCAGCGTGTATTTAGTGAGGATAATTATAACATAATCCACTCTAACATTACTGTATATTTTACACTACCAGCCGCTTCTGAAGTTAAAAGAAAAATAAAACTGCAATTAAAAATGTTGATGTCCCTCAGGGCAACCTCACTGGTTTTTAAAACAAAGCAATAAGAAAAGGAGTTAGGTATTTATTTTTAAGATTGCTTTCTGATGGATGGTATTTTCCATTTATAGGTTCCTTTCAAATGAATTAAAAAGCTGAATCAAATTTAAAAATAGGAAGTGAGGGCCAGCCCTGGTGACCTAGTGGTTAGGTTCAACGCACTCCACTTCGGCAGCCCACGTTCAGTTCCTGGGTGTGGACCTACACTACTCATCTGTCAGTGGCCGTGCTGTGCTGGTGCCTCAAGTACAAAAAGAGGAAGATTGGCAGCAGATGTTAGCTCAGGGCGAATCCTCCTCAACGAAAAATAAATCAATAAATAAATAAAAATAGGAAGAGAGTAATAGTACAGGCAGAATGGATGTAAGGCTGGGGTTTGGGCAGTGAGACTAAGTTATCTGAGGAGTTAGCATTGACCCAGACACCTGATTCCATAACTTTTTTTTCTTTTTACTTTTAGTTGAGAATAAACATAACATAAAATTAACCTTTTTTTTTGTTGGTGAGGAAGATTAGCCCTGAGCTAACATCTGTTGCCAATCCTCTTTTTGCTGAGGAAGATTGGCCCTGGGCTAACATCCGTGCCCATCGTCCTCTACTTTAGATATGGGATGCTGCCACAGCATGGCTTGATAACGGGTGTGTAGGTCTGCGCCTGGGATTCGAACCTGTGGACCCCGGGCCACCGAAGCAGAGCGCACAAACTTAACCACTACACCGCCGGGCCAGCCCCCCAGAATTAACCATTTTAAAGTGTATAATTCAGTGATATTTAACACATTCACAATGTCCTCCAACCACCACCTCTATCTAGTTCCAAAACATTTTCATCAACCCCCACCTAAAAAAACCCATACCCATTAAGTACTCAGTCCCTATTCCTCCTCCTCCCCCCCAGCACCTGGCAACCACCAATTTGCTTTCCATCTCCATGGATTTACCTATTCTGAACATTTCGTATAAATGGAATCATACAATATGTGGCCTTTTGTGTCTGGCTTCTTTCACTTACTGTCATGTTTTCAAGGTTCATCCACGTAGTAGCATGTATCTGAACTTCATCCCTTTTTATGGCTGAATAACGTTCCACTGTAGGTATGTACCACATTTTGTTTATCCATTCATCCATTGGTGGATATTGGGTTGTTTGCACCTTTTCACTACAGGGAATAGTGCTGCTATGAACGTTTGTGTACAAGTATTTGTTTGAGTACCTGTTTTCATTTCTTTGGGGTATATACCTAGGAGTAGAATTGTTGGATCATCTGGAATTCTATGTTTTACTTTTTGAGGAGCCACCAAACTTTTCTACAGAAGCTGTGCCATTTTACATTCTTTTTTTTTGTGTGTGTGTGAGGAAGATTAGCCCTGAGCCAACATCTGTTGCCAATCCTCCTCTTTTTGCTGAGGAAGATTGGCCCTGGGCTAACATCTGTGCCCATCTTCTTGTACTTTATATGTGGGATGCCTACCACAGTGTGGCTTGACAAGCGGTGCATAGGTCCACCCCCAGGATCTAAGCCTGCTAACCCTGGGCCGCCGAAGCAGAGTGTGCGAACTTAACCACTATGCCACCAGGCTGGCCCCCATTTTACATTCTCATTAGCAATGTATGAGGGATCTGGTTTCTCCACAGCCTTGCGAACACTTGTTTTTTAGTTAGTGGGGGTGATTAGTGTATCTCGTTGTGGTTTTGATTTGCTTTCCCTAGTGACTAATGATGCTGAACATCTTTTCATGTGCCTTTTGGCCATTTTTATATCGTCTTTGGAGAAAGTATATTCATTTTTGAACAATCTTTTGCTCATTTTTAATTGGGTTGTTTGTCTTTTTGTTGTTGAGTTGTAAGAGTTCTTTATATGTTCTGGATACTGGACCCTTATCAGATATGTGATTTGCAAATATTTTCTCCTATTCTGTAGGTTGCCTTTTCATTTTCTTGGAAATGTCTTTGGTGCACAAAGTTTTAATTTTGGTAAAGTCCAATTTATCTATTTTGTCTTTCGTTGATCGTGTTTTTGTTGTCCTAAGAATC